GGATGAATTTTTACAACCTGTGATCTATGCTTACAATACCAGTCGGCATACAACCACATCATTAACACCTTTTCAAATCATGTTCACCAGAGAAAATCAATTGATTATGGATCCAAAACAAATGAAGATATCTCTTATGAAACCAAACGAATATTATGAAAAGGCGAAACAATCACGAGTATTAATTCTTAACCATGTCAAGTTGAATATCAAACATCAACATCAACTAGCCAAGACTCGATATGATAAAAATCGACCGGATCCAAAATATGTTAAAGGCGATTTAGTTCTGGTACGAGTTATCAACAGAACATCGAAATTTCAAGAAAAATTTGAAGGTCCCTATCGAATTATTAATCAAATAGGTCCTGCAACATTCATTGTTAAGATCGAAAATCCCGATAATGATGAAAATACAAACTATACAAAACAAGTAACGACAGCTGATATGAAGCATATATTTAGTTTTGAAGTAGTTTAATTTTTTACTCTAAATCGTTATCCTCAGCGTGTTTATCTGATGTCGATTATTGGGTATGATTCATTGAATTACGACTTGTTAGTCATTAACTTCTAATTATTAATGGTGTCCTTATGATGAAATCTTATATTAGAATTATTTTCATAATAGATTATGTTATGGAGTAAAAGTCAATGGAGTTTTTTCGTGTTTTCATGGTCTTTAAAACATTTCCACAAAACAAAAACAAAAAATACTTTTACTGGCTCAGGTTTTTGTCTTTTAGTTTCACGTTGTTAAAATAATATCACTGTTCATGTTTCGGAGATCGGGACGACCTCCTAGACAAAAGGGGAAGGTGTTACATAATAAGTCATGAGGATGATTCCTCATCTCTTATAAGTGCTGTCCGATATCGTCTTGCGTTATAACTGTTTCGTTCTTTCTTTCTTTCTTTCGCTTCTCTTATATAGTTTGTCAACATCTTGACTCATCTTGACTTCTTCATTCTTGTTGTTCTTTTTTCTTTCTCTTCTTCAACAAAAGAAGATCGTTCTGTTGTTGTTTTTTTTCGTCGACACAGTCGACTGATTTTTAGTTGGTTGGTTGAATAAAGATTCATTCGATTATTTTCTCCTAACTGAGAACAACCTGATACTTATTAATATATTTAACTGGGGGCCTGACCGACTTGTTTGTCAATACAACATCACAACAAGCAGAAACGGAAATTGAATGATAAATAAGGGAATTCAATTATTAAACAAGGAAAACTAGAAAAATTAAGTTTTAATTGCTTGAATGAATGTCAACTACTAGAAAAAAGTTAAATTTGAAACATACATCGATTCACGATCATTTGTTAAAAAGCGAAATTAATACATATTTAACGATGAATGTACTTCCGGAAAACCAAAGATCTGATATTAAAAATTCACCATCTACTTCAACAATTGAGTCATCTCAACTTACAGATAAATTAACAACGGAAGATGAGTGCCAACTGTTGATGAAATTGTCTGGAGATTGTAAAAATTCTATGTTACCAATCGAGAATTATAAAGAAAAATTGTCATCACCACGAAGAAAGGATTTGACGATGAATCAATTATTACAAATTCCATCATTTTCAGGTGAAAATAGTGACGATTCAGGACTTTGGCTTGATCAAATTCTTGCATTTATTGAACAACAAAATGTAAATACAAGTGAACAACGTGATTTAGCAGCAGGAAAATTAATTGGTGAAGCATTATTATGGTATCGAATAAATCGTTTACAAATACCAGATATGCAAACTTTTATTCATAAATTCTTACTTATGTATCGTTCAACACCAACATTAACTGTTACCATTAATGCAATGCCGAAAGATATAGATCACGTTCATAGAACATCTGAACCAACATCGGTACGTACACATATTGAAGAGGTGAAGGAAGATTCATCAAAATCATGGCGTACAGAAAAGGGTAATTCCGAATCATCATTACGACGTGAATCACCATCACAAGTATTGCAAGCAGCCAAAAATGAAAAAGTTAAATTAATATCACATTTTACAGGATCAGAAAATTCAGTACACTGGTTAAAAAATGTAGAACAAACATCGAAAGCACTTGGATTAGATGATCAACAAATGCTTGAATTAGCAACAATTAAATTAAATGGTCCAGCTCAAGAATGGTATTATCATCAGAATGACTTGATTTCTAACTGGACATTGTTTAAACAAGTTTTCTTACATGCATTTCCACCGCCGATTCAACCAACTAACATTGATTGTTTAGCTGCATTGTTATCACGTAAACAAGGTGAAATGGAACCAGTGGGAAAGTTTGTACAAGATATTAATCGGCTTTGTCTGAAACTTGATAGTCAAATTAGTGAACATGACAAACTGGAATATCTTCGCCGTGGTCTTCGTCCGAAGCTTCAGCATTATGCATTATCGATATCATCATTACAAGAGTTTTTAACCATAATGCAGCATCACGAACAAATAGCGCAAGAAAAAGTAATAAATTATCAAACTTCTAGTGCATTTAGATCATCACCACCAAACACTTCACCTAAACATCAAGGAGCAGTTAATTCATCATCGTATAGAAATTATGGATCAGATCAACAGCAACCAAATTCATTTGTTCGTCAGCAGCCTAATTCTAATTATCAATCGAATCATCGCTCGACAAATTATGAATCACCTAATTATTACGCGCGTCAAAATTCAAATGGTTGGACATCGACACAACAACAACAACAACAAGCAAATAGTTATCGAATATGTAATCAATGTAATAAACCTGGTCATACACAACAGTATTGTCCCGATATAAACTCATCTACTAATTACCAACAAAATTTTCAGGAGCGGAGCCACTAGATGGTGGTGTCTCCGTTAATTATAATCAATATCCATCGTACTTACACTTTATTCATGTACCGGTTAACAATCAATTAATGGAGGTACTTGTGGATACGGGTGCAACCAACAGCATCATCCAGGAAACATCACTTCTTAAAATACAACATCACAAGTTTAAACCGGTACAACAAAAATTTTTTTAGCGAATAAAACATCAATCGATATAATTGGATATGTAACATTGGAAATAAAAATTCAACATATCAGAACAAATGTAATAGCAGCGATTACAAAAACATTATGCTGTGATCTTATATTAGGAGAAGATTGGATAAAATATTATCAAGTTAACATAAATCGTTTTAGAGATAGAATTGAAATTCTAGGAAATAAAGCTGCAGTGTCTCTCCGAAAATCGTTCAATAAGCAGTTAATTCCTGTTAAACTTCAACATTCGATGTCTATTCCACCTCATACTGAACGAATAGTAGATGCTTTTGTTGCCATATTAACATCACCAAAAGTATTTTTTTCACCTGATTTACAGATGCAAAGAACAAAGAAAATTGTAGTGACTCAAGTATTTAGTTCAGTACAAAATCATCTAACAAAATTGATGATTAATAATACGAATGATTTTCCAGTATATTTATCAAGTAATATAAGTTTAGGATTCATAACGGTGATAGCACATGATAATAAAGCTGTTAATGAACTTGAAATGTTGTACAAAAATAAAAGAAATAATTTCGTTAACCAACTGTTTTCATCAACATTTAATGACTCAAAGGAGAAAAATTCTCAGGTTGATCATGATGATCAATATCGTAAAAATTATAAATTAGTAGCAAACAGGCCCTTACAGGGAAAAACACAGGATATCATTAAACGGAATAATTTAACACAGTGTACATCAACCGTTAACGTTGATGTGGAAAAAACTCTTGATCAAGCGGTAAAACATATTATAAATTTACAAGAACAAAATGAAACACGAAAGATTATTCAAAGATATCGGAATATTTTTGATACATCATCATCAACAATAGCTCTGACAACGATTCATCACACAATACCAACAGCTGACCATCCGCCAATAAATTCGGTTCCATACAGGGGATCATTGCAACAACAGGAAGCTCTAAGAAAATTAGTTAAGAAAATGGAACGATCAAAATTGATTCGACCATCAGCTTCTCCTTGGTCTTCTCCCGTTTTACTCATAAAAAAGAAGGATGGAGACTATAGGTTGGTGGTGGACTATAGAAAGCTTAATTCTATAACCACTAAAGATTCATTTCCAATCCCAACCATTGAAGCAACTTTACAACAACTAGCGGGAAATGCATATTTTTCAAAGCTTGATCTACGATCGGGTTACTTTCAAATACCAATTAATGAAAATGATAAACCCAAGACAGCTTTTATAACAACAGCTGGTCTTTGGGAATTTAATGTTTTACCAATGGGTTTAACAAATGCTCCTCCAATCTTTCAGAGAATCATGTATAATTTGATTGCAAATGGTCGAGAACAATATTGTTTGGTTTATCTTGATGACATAATTATTTTTAGTAAAACTTTTGAAGATCATTTGAAACATCTTGATGAAATTCTTAATGTATTGAATAATCATCGATTTCAACTAAATCCTATTAAATGTTCGATAATAAAAAATAAAATTGATTATTTAGGACATTCAATTGATGAATATGGAATTACTCCATTGCATGATAATATAAAAGCTATTCGTGAATTACAGTTACCTGATTATCCGACATTAAAGCAAGCAAATGAATTCATCGGTGGAATAGGTTTTTACAGGAAGTTTATTAGGAATTTTTCAAAGATAGCTGGTTCAATACATCATGTCACAAATTTAACCAAGAACAAAAAACATAAATTTATATGGGGCGATGAACAAAGACAAGCAGTTCAACAGCTGAAGATGATTATTACTGGTCCAGAATTAGTATTAGAATTTCCAGATCCAGATTTACCATTTACATTGTCTACTGATGCTTCACAACTTGGTCTTGGGGCTGTCCTTAAACAAATGACTCGAGATGGAAAGTTAAAAATTATTTATTATTTATCACGGGTATTATCGAAAAGTGAATCCAGGTATTCTACTACAGAATTAGAAGCGTTGGCAATGGTATGGGCTGTTGTTAAATTACGATCATATTTACTTGGGAGAGATTTTACAGTGGAAACTGATCATTGTCCTTTATGTCAATTCCACAAAAAGAAATCACGTAACGGACGTCTTGACCGATGGTCAATTGATATTTTATCCGAATACAATATTACGGAAATTAAATATAAGAAAGGAAAATGCCATTGTGATGCGGATTTACTGTCGCGTTATCCATTACGCATGGAGGAAAATTCATTGAAAAGTATTAGTCTAATCCGAAAGCAAGAAGAAGGATATTTATTTCCTCATGCAGATGAATTAGATGATGGTGAACCAGAACTTCAACCAATAGCAACAATTAATATTATTACTCGTTCTAGGAATTATAATCAAGCAACAACATCGGATGAACAAACAAAAAATACATCGGATAATTCTTCACCAAAGTCAATGACAACGAAGATTGATAATACTCGATTAGGAGTAGTTACGAGTGATAATCCAACATCATCATCGACAAACAAGTTATGTAAAGTTCTTCCAGTATACAGTGGATTTAGTATGACGGAACTAAAAGAAGAACAAATAAAAGATGTGGATATTCAAAAAAAAATAACAACCTTAGTTATTAATGATACTTATGAAATAATTGATAGCGTCATATATAAATTAGTTGTACGTGGTACAACAAAAATGAAACTTCCTTGGATTCCAAAATCAATGATAAATCAAGTAATGTTTCTTTATCACGACCATCATACAGCTGCACATCTCGGAAGTAATAAAACGTCACATAAATTGATCAACAAATATTATTGGCCGAATATGCACGTAACAATTAATGATTATATTAAAGCTTGCGGGAAGTGTACACGATATAATTATATACGAACAAAACGACCTGGGAAAATGAATATTATTCCAACACCAGATGAAGTAATGGGTTTAGTAGGTATGGACTACTGGGGTCCAACTAATTATCCTACAGCACGAGGTAATCGATATGTTATCACGTTGACTGATTATCTATCGAAATTTGCATTTGCGAGAGCAGTTAAAACCAATTCAGCTCAAGAAGCAGCTGATTTCTTTCTAGATGTATGCTATCATTATGGTGCGCCATCAAAATTAATTACGGATCAAGGATCTCATTTTGTTGCTGAATTAACACGAACAATAATTGAATCATGTAATACAACTCATATTCTAGCGACTCCATATCATCCAACATCCAATGCACAAACCGAGAGGTTTAATGCTACATTTGCTCCAGCATTATCTAAATTAACTTCGGATCAAACATTGGATTGGGATGAATTTTTACAACCTGTGATCTATGCTTACAATACCAGTCGGCATACAACCACATCATTAACACCTTTTCAAATCATGTTCACCAGAGAAAATCAATTGATTATGGATCCAAAACAAGTGAAGATATCTCTTATGAAACCAAACGAATATTGTGAAAAGGCGAAACAATCACGAGTATTAATTCTTAACCATGTTAAGTTGAATATCAAACATCAACATCAACTAGCCAAGACTCGATATGATAAAAATCGACCGGACCCAAAATATGTTAAGGGTGATTTAGTTCTGGTACGAGTTATCAACAGAACATCGAAATTTCAAGAAAAATTCGAAGGTCCTTATCGAGTTATTAATCAAATAGGTCCTGCAACATTTATTGTTAAGATCGAAAATCCCGATAGTGATGAAAATACAAACTATACAAAGCAAGTAACGACAGCTGATATAAAGCACATATTTAGTTTTGAAGTAGTTTAATTAGTTACTTTAAATCATCAACTTATAATTATTAATGGTTTTCTTATGATGAAATGTTATATTAGAATTAATTTCATAATAGATTATGTTATGGAGTGAACTTCAATGGAGTTTTTTCGTGATTTTATGGTCATTAAAATCTATTCAAAAACAAAAAGAAAAAACTTTTATAGGTTTGTGTGTTGTCTTTGGTGTCGCGTTGTTAAGATAATATTACTGTTCATGTTCGGAGATCGGGACGACCTCCTAGACAAAAGGGGAAGGTGTTACATAATAAGTCATGAGGATGATTCCTCATTTCTTATAAGTGCTGTCCGATATCGTCTTGCGTTTTAACTGTTTCGTTCTCTCTTTGTTTCTTTCTTTCGTTTCTCTTATATAGTTTGTCAACATCTTGACTCATCTTGATTTCTTCATTCTTGTTGTTCTCTTTTTTTCTCTCTTTTTCAACAAAAGAAGATCGTTCGTTTTTTGTTTGTTTTTTTCGTCGACACAGCCGACTGACTTTTAGTTTCGTTGGTAAAATAAAAGATTCATTGGTCGAATATTTTTCCTAACTGAGCAAAAACTAAAATTTATTAATATATTTAACTATATTAATTCACATAGACTGAGTGGCAAAATAAAAAAAGAGAAGGTGACTATATTAAAATAAAAACAATTATAACCTCATGTAGGTTAATGAATTTTTCAATTTATCTTGTCGTGGGGCATCAGAAGCATTTAAAACACTACCGCATTTATATCAACTCGTTTCCACCAATTCGACTCGAGTCGAAGAAATTGATTTATCATTTGATACTAATCAAGAAAATTACAATTTAATCCATTTAAATGAAGTAAACTCGTTACCACTAAACTCAATCATTGGTAATTTTGTATTAGTTTTCATTCACTAAAGCAACAAAAATGAATCAATCTATAAGTATCACAAGAAATACTTAGCATGATCTACAGATTGATAAGAAAGGCTATTCTAATTTTATTCTGACTAAAATGTGATAACTAGTTGGATATCAACATGAAATTACAATAAAAAAAAACTTTAATTGTAACTAATAGAATTACCAGATTTAACTCTATTGAATATGAATAATTCAAATACTATAACTTAGTTATATTAATCGTATTTCTCTTAACACTAATTTCGGTTTAATTAGCAAACAAAAATGAAACTGTTTTCATCGAAATAAGAACTACATCATCAAGTATCAAAAATCAAATCAATTCTAATTGTCGTCTTGATTCGAAGAATAAACGGAATAACTGATTTCATGAAAAAAAGACTGTTAAGCGACGGCCCAAACACAAAAAATAACTACACTCATTTCTATTTTATTTTTATCAGTGAATAAACTTGAATCTAATGCTATGATTCTATTTGATTTCCCTGTTACTTACATTGTACATAGCAATTCCGAATTATAAAATTCTATTCTATCGATAAACGAAAACTTCTATTAACATTAAGAGTTTTATTTCCATATACATTTAACAAAACAATCCAGCTTCTCAACGTTACGTTACCCTGATACGAAAGCACTTCATAACATTGTATGCGTTAAAACCAGAAACAGAAACATTAATACGTATTTTTTTACTAATTACAATCAAAGATACTATGACTCCATGTCCCCATTGTTAAAAAAATACAGAGAGAATTGAATGATATAAAAACTCATTGTAAAAGGATGCAAGGATTAATTATCAATATAAAAATTTCTAAGGTCAGATCTAGACGAAAATTCTGTTAAAAGAATTAAGAAAAAAACTATTCCAAACTCGCCTGCCACATACATATTTATTCTTAAAACTATACGATATTAATATAGAAATTATAGAAATTTCCAGGAAGTTACTTTAGTTTGATTTTGGGTTATGGTGGACAATATTGCGGTATTTACGAAAGTTTCTGATATTTCCTAAAACTTGAATTTTTCATCCCTCTAGTTTCCGAAATATGCATATTTAGCTAGGAAATTTTCTTTTTTAGAAATCTGCTCACTGCTGCTTCTTTCTAGTTCTGAGCGAAAAAACTGTCCAAATAGTTTTTAAAATGATATAAGCTGAACTTTTGAGTCGGATCTTGTGCACCCCTTGGGTACACTTAAATATGTCCCATTGCAAGTTAGAAAGAGAGAATAAGTGATATCTATAGATATTCTTCGTGCAGACCCCTGTTATCTATAGACCGAGTAGTCTCTCGGTAGATTCAATTATATGTCATGTGTATTTGAGTTCTTTCCATACCTGCATGGTCTTCAGATCACTACGACAGCATCAGGTTAATTCCTGGTTGCGCACACTCGTGTAGGGTGGAAATAAAATTCATTCGTGAGCATTTATTTAAGACAAGGAAAAAATGAATACTGTAATGACTTTACTCGAGGGAAAAACGTTGAACTCGATTATTGGAAGAATCGACGACATAGAGGCTGCCATACCGATCAAAGGACAGGCCCCATGGTGCATTCAATTGTGTTGCTCTTTCTCCTAGACCATTTCCACCCACAATTACAAAGCCCTGTTGTGCTCCTTTAGGCCAACGCACCACTCGATTATTCCTAGAATCTGCCACGTAGACGGTGCCTAATGTATCGACGAACAGTCCTTGAGGAAAGTTCAATTGCGTCAGGGCACTTCCAACGCCATGACCACCAGCGACGACAATGCCTTCGGTTGCACATTTATCCCATTTCATCACACGATGATTTTCGTTGTCTGACACGTAGACAGCCTGTTTCTGATCGACAAAGATGTAGAACGCATCATCGAATTGGTTGAGACCATCACCTCGTCCATGGCCACCAGCTATGACAGTTCCATTCTGGTCTCCAGTATTATATCGTCGGATTTCGTTGCTTGCAGCATCAGAGATGTAGAGAAGTTTCTGATCATCCATGGCCAACCCGTAACAAGAGATTCCGTTGATCAGAACTTCTCTTTCAGTGCTGCCACTACGACGAGGCCATCGTAATACGCGCCCATTACTAGGGGTACAACAGTTCTCAGATTCAAGTACAGATCAAATGAGCGAAAGAGCTGTTCAAACGGATTCTTTAGATCTGATGTGCTTGAGCAAAATTCAGATCAGATCTAAGGAACTGTTTGAACAGTTCTTTCAATCGGAAATAAAACTGAACTGTCATAACCCTACCCATTACTGCAGATAATGACACTATCTGTCGCTTTGTCGATCAGCACATCAGTTGGATAATGCAATTGATAATATATATTAATTTGGTTGTGGCCACTAGAAAAGACTCTGCCCTTCTTGTCGCCCTTCTTCCATTCGACAATTCTATTATTGCCCCAGTCAGCGATGACAATCGTTTGATCATCATCAATGGAGAGACCAAAAGGACTGTTGAGTTGGTTGGTGGCATTACCGGCCCCGTGTCCTCCAGCTGCAGTCACGCCATTTTGTGACCATCGTGCATTCAACGAAATATTAGGAATGCCTATCAATCAAGGAACAAATGAAAAGGAAATTATCATGATTATCGAAGAGATCACGTGCTCCCTGTCATGGAACTCTTATAAAGTTAGATCTTTTTTCTACATAAGAATAGTTTTTGCTTTTCTATAACAAGAAGAGAATTTCAGCTCAATGAATTTCATACTTTTTATTTTTTTTGGCATTTGATAAAAAGCGCTTTCAAGATTCCATATATCAAATCATCCTTAATTTCGTATTAAAAGGATTTTGAAATAGTTAGAAGTAATATTCATCAAGAGTCGATTCACTTGATCCTAGACCAACCAGATTGAGATATGCATGTAGGCACATCTATATACTGACGGACCTTAAGGAAACTGTAAGATAAATAGGAGAGATCACTTAATATGTAACAGATAATCGTTTCGAATATCAAGTTTTTGGTAAAATAAAACTCGATTGGGGTGTAGGGTGGGCTGATGATAGATAGGAACACCCCACCCACATCCTCAAGAAAATATTAAGCATACTATGGTGAATTTTACTCAAACGAAGAGTCTGGTGTATGTTTTCTAAACGAAATAGTCTTTTGACATCAGCAAAAGGTATTTGGTCTCGCTTGAAAACAATTTTTATAATAATTCTTTTTAAATGAAACGCCCAAAGCTGAATAAACGAAATTCTCTGTAATTGATCAAACTAGAGGTTTCGTTTTTTTTGTTCTTTACAACAGTCAAAAAGAAAACGTCACGAGTTGAAATTTTTTCAAATTATTATAGACGTCTTCTATTGTATACAAAAAAGTAACTGAACTGAAACAGTTTACTTTTCCAGTCATTATTTAAATTAGCTATCACTGCCAAATAATGAACATATTCAAAAGCAATTACTATTCCTTGTCTCTTTAATATATCAATTAATGAATATTACAGATACAGAATGAATATTATTTCTAAATCCTGTTATGGAGGGTGTAGCGTACGAAACTGTCGCTTTTAATGCACATCGAAATGTTTACAACCCTTTTACGATAGGATCTTTTGAAATTTTTTTTGGATGAAAAATTTCAAGAACGTTCAACAAAACTTATAGAATGATCCAAACGTTTGACAGTATACAGTGAAATATTGCAAGTATGTGAATGAATGTTGGTAGGTATAAGTATAGAATATAGTATAGTCAGTGGATCCGAGGAATGAATTAGAAAATTTTAAAAATTATATGAATTACACAATAATTCGGTTTCTAACAAAATCTATTGGAGTCTACTGGAGTCTTCAGTTTTGGGTGTACACGAGAATAGAAATACACACACTGATGTCCGTTGTACTATTGGAATGTAGGTGGATGGATGAGTATGAATATAGGTAGTATCGTCATCTGCATCCATAACTACAACGATTGGCACCCACACACTGAAAATTCTACGTAGATTCTAGAATTAAATATTTCTTACAGCATAGAGAAATTTTGAATTATTTAGTGTAATTCAATTCCGGCATGAGCTCAGTATATATAGTTGAATTAAAAAATGACATACTCTCATTTATATTCACACGCTCGAATACTGACAGGTAACGATAACTCAACTATAAACGTGTATCAGGGAAGTCGTAAAAGCTAGAAATGCATCTTCAATATGTTTTATCTTGTACTTGTTGCTGTTTTAACTTGAATCTTGTCTAACAAACAGAGTAAAAAATGCAGGCGAACAGAATTTTAGATAGAGCATTGTTTGATAACTTACATCATTCACAAGATCGATAATTTACCTGAAACCGTTATCGTGTTCGGTTGAGAGTATTTGCTCCATAGTTTGATTGCTAACAGAGAAGCTAATGTAGCCAGAATAGTAATGATCATGAGTAGAATATATTCACGAAGAGTCAATGGTATTCTGAAGATCGTGTTCATTCGTGAAGATCTATGAATATTCTTGTCCGTTTGGTTAGACACAGAAGGCGACGAGATAGGTGGATTGTATTGGAGGGCTATGTCTGTCAACGAAGTCGATGAATCTTCAATCATTATTGGATCAGCTATGTCACGCATGATTCCTAAAATATTTTCTCATTCTGCAGTGTATCACATTTTTATTGCTACAAACTAGGTGGGCAAATTTTGTCGTCTTCACTATCTTGTAGAAGAATATCTTGAAGTGAGAAACTTCGTTGGTTACTTTGCTTTCGAGCTAGTTGATACCCTAAATGACAGCGACCGATCGTTGAGTGTGAATTGTCGTAAGGGAAGGGAAAACAAACCTTGAAGTCGTCTCATGGCATCATGACAATGTATTTTATTGAATGCTTCAATGAGATAATCACAGTCCTGATCACTGATGAATGCCTTTTCGAAGAGAGAATCAAGTAAACGAAGAGTCCCACTAAACGAAAAATCATCACGCAAATATCTTGGAACGTCTTCACCAAGTAGAAAATGTAGACGATGCCGATCATTTTCTGATAGAAGATCTTGTATTCTGAGTAATAAAGCACGAAAATCAAACTGTTCATTCATTTAATCAAGATAAATCGTTGTCGATGAAACTAGAAAAGAAGATTGATTGATCTAGATTTTCTTTAGTCGAATAGTAAACAATGTTTACATATATTCTATAACTGAATGCTGTATAATCTAGAAGAAAAGAACGGTAGAAGAATAAAGATGATAGGATTCATTTTTCGCCTTGCTAAGAAAAAAATACGGGAGTTGTACGGTATCATTTTTTCCTCGTCTCATCAAGGAAATTACAAAAGATAATGGAAACGTGGTCGAAAAACAAGAAAGGTGTGGGTATACAGCTTGTCTTTACTCACACGCCCCACACCCATAACCTACGTTGTAACGGAAAAAATTGTATTTTTTTCTTCATCATCAATGAACACACACATTCACATGTATGATGCGATTCTCGATACTATTTACTTCACTCCCAGTTAGCCTAGAATATGGCTCAAATTACAAATTATATGTTCTTATCTAAGATTTCAATTAAATAACGTTACTACATCAATGGGAGAAAAGAGGATGTTTGAAATGCTTATAAAGATAATCAAAATTGTGTTTTTCGTTGCCACTTTCATTACTCATTGTGAAGCGAACGAACAACAAAAAAAATTGATCAATGGCTGTCGCTCTTCAATCATCTGCATCAAATAACACAACATTGAATACACGACACTACTACAACAATCTTGAAACATATTCTCTACTTTGGCTTGGCGCTTCGGTCAACTCTCAAGAAAATATTGATGCACAACAAAAACTGCGATCATCAATCAATCACTTGGAATCATTCAAGCAAAGTGATCAATGTGAAAAATATATTCGATCACTTTCTTCACCAGATCGGATTATCTTAATCGTTCGAGATCGATTAGGTCAAAAACTGGTACCTCGAATTCATCAACTTCGACAAATTTTTTCGATTCATGTGTATGGTATACGCAAACAGAAAAATCAATGTTAGGCTAATCAATTTCAATAAAGTAAATTAAATCTCATCCCTCACATTCGAATCCATGGGTAAATCGTCAAGGTTATCCTTTACCGTAAAGTGTTCTCTCACGTTCGATCTGATCAAAAAGCACGAATCCAACATAAAGTCAATGAACCAATTTCAATCAATCTTTTCAACGCAAATTCTGATCATGAGCAATCGACTAGTGAACTCAATGGTCAATTTGTTCATTCACAACTGCTTATTGATTGTCTTCTTTGAATGAAATCAACTTCGATCGATAAAGATGAACTAATATCAGTATGTGAAATTGAATACGAAGGTAATCCGACTGAATTGGCTACTCTGCGAGAGTTTAAGCAAAATTATTCATCTGAACAATCAGTATGGTGATATTCAAGAGATTCATTTCTTTATCGATTATTAAACAAAGCTCTTCGTGGACAGAATATTGATTTCTTCTTCCTTTTTCGATTTTTCATTCGCGATCTTGAACAACAACTCGATCAACATCGATGTTCATCACCTCTTCGTCTCTATCGTGGTCAATTAATATCAAATGAAGAACTACAATGAATGAGAAATTGAATTGGACAACTTATCTCGATAAACTCATTTCTTTCCACCAGTGTGTTCATCGTCAATTAGCTCTCTTCTTTCTCGATGAGTCTACTACTGATGATGATGATGATGATTTACAACGAGTATTATTTGAAATCGATGCCGATCCTCTCTTGAACGGTATTAAACCATTTGCTAACATCACTTGCTTCAATTCTTTTCCCCAAAGAAGAAGCTGAAGTATTAGTAATGCTAGGATCTATCTTTTGACTTATCGATATTCACCGTGATGAAGATCAAGTTTGAATTGTTCAAATGGCATTGTGCAATGACAACGATTATAATTTGAAGACTATTTTAGATTATATGAAGGATCAGTATGGTATCGAAGAAACGACTCTGCTTTCATTCGACCACGTGTTTCTTGGTATGGTGCTTAGCGAGAAAGGTAATTATAATACAACTTTGTAGTGTCAACACAAATCACTCGAGATCACAAGGCAAACACTAAAGTTAGTTGATCGTAGTCTTGCAAAAAGTCACCACAACATTGGAAATGTTTATCTAAAGAAAGGTGATTGCAAGCAAGCACTGGAATCATGCGAGAAGGCATTGACGATTTGCAAGCAAGTATTCGGTGACAATCACCCAGATGTAGCCAGGAGCCTCGGTAACATGGGTGTCGTCTATTTTGAAGAGAAACGACATTCGGAAGCATTGGGGTTTTTTAAGAGATCATTGTCTATTTGTCAGAAATATCTCCCTGTCGATCATCCTGACTTGGGTGGATCAGTCACATACTTTGGCATTGTTCATTGTTCTTTCGATCAGTACAAACTTGCATTAAAATATTTTCAATCGTCACTCAACATCCTTGGATTGTCATGACTCTTGATAGTAAAGGTGATGCTCACAAGCATAATGGTAATTTTCAAGAAGTATTACTATTTTATGAACAAGCAATTACTATCTATCGACATTCATTACCGCCTTCACATCATGACATTGTTCACATCGAGCAACTCATTCGAGATGTTTTAGTTAAATTGAAATAAAACAAAAATTGTAGTGTTATGTGATTGTCATCAGGTAGAAACAATATTGAAAGTTAAGAAAATAAAACAATGAATGAAGCAATACATTGATAGACACTAAACTGTACATACATAATGATTGTTTGTTGTTCAGAAGGACAACTGATGGCACATTTGAAAGAATCCACAGTTAATCGACACAAATATAACTTTTTTCCATTTTTTCCTGACAAGATCATGAGTAATAGAAACTGAAAGAAACTCATGCAAGATCTTTGCCAAAATCAATTAGAAGACCCGATGTGCCAACAAGAATATTTACAGCTATACAATCGGTATAGTCTGATTTGTTCTATCCCTTTTTGGGTTATTCCAAATAGAAATCACTTATTTAATCGATCTTTATCGCTACTGTAGTGGAATGGAATATAAAGCATGCTTGAGTGTATATCAATTGAAAAACAAGATGATCTAGTTTTTACTGAAAATATAAACTAGTCAAGTAATCTCAACTCATGCTTTTCAGCAATCGCCTAAGCCGAAATAATTTGTATTGAGAATGATATGCTAAAGAAAATTTTAATTAAAGTAAAATGTGTAGCTCTTTTAGGCGACATATTTCGTGTTATTTATTAAAGCATTGAAACACTCATCAAAACACTACATTGACAATTAAAAATAAAGACACATAATATAAGCAGTGTTAGATAATAATAACAGTTGGCTTATAAAGAATGGGACTCAGTATTTTGCATATATATCACTGATGCTTCAATGTAGAACGGAAAATATTTTTGCAATAGACTCCTGATGAAATTCTTTAAAAAATGAATATATTTTCATTATTTTAAATCGAGTTGATACACAAATGATTTAACTGCATCGAGTACTCATTTACAGATACCATATACGTATCTATGCACCCATCCTTGAACTAGTACGCACCAATGGTGAACCCATCCTTTTATGTCAAGGATGATCATATTGCATAACTGTTCTGAATTTCAATATCGATAAAGAATGCAAGTTGTTACAAAATCATCAAAGGTCAATACTATCGAAGATTGCCAGTACTCTGATTCTCTTATTCCATGTTATCGTTTTCATACGACGTGGAACAGTTCTTTGTGTAAATGCCTCTGCAGCCACTGAATAATGTAATAATTTTTATTTCGAAGATATAAAACATAAATAAGTCAGAATATAAGTATAAAAGATCGGTAGTTTTTAGTCTTAATGCTTTTTTTTATTGAAAATGTCTAGATAATTTAAACATGGGAATTGAAGTTTAATGTTGCTGAAAAATGTATATACTTTGAGTATCCAAACTGAAAACATTGCTGCATGTGTTTATAGAAATGAAAAATACTTTGCAAAGCGTACGGATATTCATGTTTCAACAGTGTTTCTGTTATTATTAAACTTAAACAATTTTCATATACATACTATGTGAAACACCCATTTTTAAGAGCCAGAGTAAAATTGAATTGGAAGCAGTGTAATAGATCTAGTAAAGAATTAAAACTAGCATCAGGAAAAGTACTAGTCATCGCCGAATTTAAACACTGCAAATTCAGTTATATCGTATTACATAACTATAACAACTAATATTCATTTACAATAATATCATTTACATCTGTACTTCCTATCAACAGTACAACCCATCACACATAAAGATGCACTGGCTTCCGATGGACCGGTTACCGTCACCGTTGCATCCCTATTTGTATTACAGTGTTTCATCCAGGTTTTTCACTCTGGGAGGGCGAATTCAGTTGTCTGGAGGGCAGACAAAACGTTTTTCAGGGGCGAACTACCATGAGTAATATATGGAGTCTATTATATTTATGCTTTCAAAAAATCTGTGTTTTGTAAGTTATATAAAAGTTAATTGTTTATTTCATTTTTCTCGGGAGAGCTAAACGTCCCTTGCCCTCCCGCTGGATAAAACACTGGTATATTCCATTATCTGAGACATACACATTCTTTACATTTGTGTGGAAAGGAGATATTGTTCTTAGATTTCATGGAGATTATTCAACCACCTGATGAGTCCTTGAATTAGGACGAAATCTGAATCGTGGTAGTTATATTTTCATACTCACCTTCATCCTCAAAACGATATTATCTCAAACAAGAACGCATGCTATTAACACATCGTTACGCTATGATTTCTTTAAAACGTTTTTCACAAATCCTTTAAAGATCACCTAAAGACCTTCAAACTATGACGATTCGATTTGTTATTAGTTTTCATCTATGTAAACAGATTTTCACTTGATTTCAGTAAAACATAGGCATTTTATTTTAAAATAACCTTCTCCTTTTTCGTATGCTACTCGTAAAAACGACTCTTTTCTCGACAAAGGAAAGAAACAAAAAATAAACGATATATAACATTGTGACTGACGGTATGATGAATTGAATGAAATAAAATATTTGACTTCATCGCTTACGTAGAAAAACTAGATAGGTTTACAAAATCAAAGTGTGTCTATCATAGTTGATACAATTTGAAGTGCCACCATCAAAAGATTTTCAGGGTTAAAGTCAATTAAACAACTTTTCCACATTCAGTTTTTGATACTGAACCTGAAAAAACAGAACAAAGTAGAAAAATCTCCACATTTTGAAAAAGATGTGATTTTCTCGAAAACCACATGATTCCAGTTTTTCGTACTTTTCAACCGAAAAGAAGAATTCGCTGAGGCTAAAAAGTAGATATTCGTGATTATCCATGTAGCCGATTTTATAAAATAATGGACATTGCAATGTATTGTTTATAATGCATTATAATGCGTTGAAAACTTTATAGTCGACACTTACTACACAAGATTTATATAATCCTATTAAATCGAGGTGATGTCCTAATCACCATAATTGTATCTCTGTAGTTCTACACGTCTATCCCCTTACCTTAATCAATTTCTCTAACTTAATTTAACTTAATGCCTTAACTTTCATCAACCCTCTTATACATATATCTATCTATCATATAACGTATGATTTTTATCATATCAATAATAATCTAAAACAAAAGACAATTAATGAATAAATAAGTTTATTATTATTATTAAATTCGAACAAGCCATTTCGATCATCATCGATATCAACCTAAAACACAGGAAAAAGAAATAGAAATAATCTTAACATTGAATTGTAATTTACTATTTTGAGCAGATCGATAAGAGCCTAGAACAAAAGACAATGAATAAATCATTTTTTTTATTATTGAATTCAAACTTACCACCTCGATCATGTCGAATTGTAGTTGAAACCGATAACAGTCCGACAACGTATATATGACATAAGGCTGTTTCAATAGCATTAAAATGACTTTCAATTTGGAAAACAAAATGATCTATGATCTAATCGGTTATAATTGATACTGTGAACAATTTTAGTTCACTAGATACGATTATTCTTTTGAGTTTCCAAAATATTTTCCCAGGCAAGCCGAAGAGTCTCCGAGTTCACTCAATCACGAAAATGTGCACTAACGAACCGAAATTCAATCTCGAGTTTCTATTTGTTTCAACGAAAGACTACTAGAGCCTTGAATGCTTTTAGAATATTCTGTAGAATGACAAATATCACAGTCCTCAAACTTCTCAAAAGAAGTTTTCCCTCCGTCATTGCTTAGTTTTGTTACATTTTTTATTAGTTCTTTAACTTGCACGACTCTTATTGAAAAGCGCCTGATACACAGAGAGCTGGGTTAAATCAAGCATCTGTCTGTCAAATCACTTTTGTAATATCTCTTTTACGAACATGATGAATTCTCTAATTTAAAAACAGTACTTTTAATAATGCCTTGAAATCCATTACTTCGCGTGTTTTTTTCAAATAATGGCAAATAATGGGTCATTTTCCAATATTCATCCATTATCGGCTGCATGGGTGGCAACTCTTGCTCTATCAAATGATGTAAACAAACAAGAAAAAAACGTTTACTTGCAGTTTGAATTGCTTGCACCTTACTTGCCCAACGATTTTCATTTATTTATTTTTCTTCATATTCTTCTATTTGCATTCATACAGACAATCATGTGGTTTCTTTTTCATTTTACAAGTAAAAATTAAAATCATAAAATCGATTATGATAAAATGATGAAATACAAGATGAAATAATATTATAATTGGTAGTGCTGGTCGAACTGATAAATGCACTACAAAATTATACTTTTTAAAAAAGATATTTCACGAGTGTGCAGTGTCATGGGACTGTTCGTAAAAGTTCATCACATGGGAAAATTTATTTCCTCCCCTCCCATCTCACGCAGAGCCCAGTGGGAACATCATATTTGAAAATTACGTTTCTACTTTTTCTTCCCCACTTTCGAAAGCATACGAAATCATGACGCAGGACCTAGTGAGAAGCCGTTTAGGTGTCGATTATCTCTTATCTTCTTCGCATAGAAAAGGAAGGGAGACAAGAAAAGATCGTTCTTTTTCTTTGCACCTGAAAGCAATGCGCCACTTTCGATTTTTCTGGGATTTTCTTTCCTCGGTGTTAGTAGGCGACCGAGGCATATATAATGGAGACGCACAACCATAGAAAAATACCATTCATATACCTGTTCATATTCATCTACCACTTTCTTCAAGCGCCGAACAGTAACAGACGATCATGCAGAAAATCAGTCAATTGGTTTATTTGATGGTCTTCTTGGTGCTCGTGGCTACAAGATGCACGGCACAGACCACAGCCAATCAAGCTGGAGTCCATGGTAGTCTCCATCATGCAATTGTCAAACGTGATTCTTGTCGTCGTTGTCTTCTTGCTTGTATTGCCGCTGCTATTCCTTTTCTTGCTTTTGGTTATGGTGCTTGTGCTTCTGCCTGTCGTATTTC